CATTTTTGATTGGGAATTTTTCCCAAAATTGGCGGTGTGGCGCAGAAAGTTGTGGGACTAAGTGACTTGCACTATATCTATTATTTTTTTTGATTTAGCTATTGAATACTTAATGGCTGATGCTGCTAAATTTGTAGAAGAAACATATTTTAAGTGTCTTGCCCCATAAATTGCATCAACTGCCACTGCACATTTAAAAAGTTTTTCTTTGTCATGTAGATTTTCATTTTCATTGTAAGAAAGAGTTTTTATAAATTTCACAATAACAGGATTTTGTAAAGCAAGCCATTGAGAAGTAGAATAGTTTAAAATATTGTCTAATTGAAAATGCCCCTGATCATTCATTAAATCAATTATATCATCATATAAATTTCTACATTCCTTCTGGGCAATTATTGTAATATAATTAATTCTTGATTCCTGATCATCAAGTGGTGCAATTATTTTTTTTTTTAATTTTTCATTTTCTTCTTTTAATTTATTGTTCTCTTCTTCTAATCTGCTAATTATTTGTTCATTTTCTCCAATAATTCCAACATAATATATCCTCTGTGATTCTGATTGTTTTAATTCCTCTTGAATTTTCAATAATTTCTCACATGTATTTGATAATTTCTTATGTGTATTTGATAACTCTGCTGTAAGCCTTGTGATCTCTGCATTAGGTAAAGTAGCTTGATTGTTAAACTTGTGGACCTCTTCCTCAGAAGATGAATTTATTGTGGGTATAGATAAAGTATGCCTTAATTTTTTTCATTGTAAATTTTCTTCAGAAAAATTATCTGCTTTTTTTAATTTCTCAAGAAAAATATCAGTAACAATTATTTGATTGTAGTGTTTTTCACAAATTGAATAATTTTCTAAAGAATCACATAACAAAGATAGTTCAGGAAAATACTTAGCAAATAATTTCACACGCTCCCTTGCTGCTAATCCTGATGCATGCCTCAACTTTTGGTTCCCAACTTTACATGATGTCAGCTGACTTTCTGGATATTTAATAGAAAGTTCATTGAATAAATATTGTAAGGTGTTGGCTGTTCTGGTATTTTGCATTTTTAGAGATTAAAATTTATAATTTAAAAAACAAAAGAAATTTTTAAGCTAATTTCAAGCAAGTTTTGAGTCAAGGCAGTTCTTTATGTTGTTATATAAGGCTTTGGGGATGAGAGAGGATTGTTAAAGTGTATTCTAAACTCGTTTGTATTGTATATGAGATGATCGGCAAAAAATTCTAGAATCAATTTCTATATTTGGTATATTCCCTGACTGAATTAATTTAATATTTATAAATTAATAAAATTAATTTTAATATAATAAGAAATAAATTACCATCATCAATTTCATTATTTATTGCATCAAAACCAGGTTCTTCATTATCTTCCACACAATATAAATTATTGTCAGGTTGAAGCTCTATTTTATCTATATGTTCAACTATTGATAAAAAATCTTCTTTTGACATGGTAACTAAGGTTTCTGGTCCAAACTGTTTTCTCAAAGCCCAAACTAGTTTGGGCAATTTGGGCTTCTCAACATTTTTTATAAGCATAACTATATGAATCAATTTGTTTTAACTTAAACAACTTTAAAATAATTTCACCCAATTTTGGCTAATAACAAAAAGTAGTTTGGGCTTATAAAAAAATAAATTTTGCCCAAAGTATTTGGGCAATTTCGGCTACTAATAGAAGCAGTTTTGGCCAAAAACCTTAATGGTAACATTACTTCCAGTTAAATTAATTTTAATTTTAGACCAGTCTAACTGATTATCAACCATATTAATTGACAGGTTGTCTGAAGAAGTATCATCAGATTGGTTAGATGAATATTCATTATATGAATCATTAGATTTTGTTCAAAGATTTTTTGAGTAATCAACATCTAATGATTCACTGGGTTTTCTTTTCATTTGATCATTTTTATGTTTACCATGTCTGTCTGGCTCAACAATTTTCATATAATGACTATAACAAAGCTGGTCACCTTCTTCCAAAAAATAATATTTATTTTCTAAATCTTTCTTTCTAATTTTATCCATTGTTCCAATTTGTAATTTTCTATAAGGAGCAGGTTTATCACAACCAGAAATAATGCATGGGCCTTGGTTTTTTGGTTTTGGCATGACTGATTTTGAAATAAGAAAATAGAGTGGGTTAGTTTTGATATTTGATATTTTTTACAAGTAAAATTTGTATTTTTTTTTTTATTTTGAATTTAAAAACTTTTTTATTTATTTATATATCCTTTATTTATTTAAAAAAAAAAAAAATTAAATAATCCTTTTCTTTGTATATACAATGATAAAGAACTTTTTGTATTCAATTAAATCAATAAAGACTATTAAAAATTTCATTGACATAATAATAATAATAAAGAGTTATATATAGAACAAGAACCAAATCTTTTTTTAAAAAGAAAGACTATATATAAGAAAAATGAAAAGAAACCAAAAATCTTTGTTTTGATTTTAACAGAATTACGTGGAAATTATTTTCTTATATTAATATATTAATATTAATATAATAAATTTAATGTAACACATATATGTGATAATTGCGAATGTCAATCAAAAACGAATTTCCACCATGCTTAAGTCCTGCCAATTCCCAGCATATTGAGATAAGTTTCTTGACAAAGAAGTGTATTGTGATCCCAATGGTAAAAAGTTCTTTTATTGGACCTGGTTTTCTTTTTAAGGCATCTGCTAGTGGTTATTGATCCACCATCCATTGCTTTAATCTGTGCCATTAAAAATATGTCTTGCTCAGACTTAGAATTAATGAAAAGAAAATCCTGTCTTTATACATTTTGGAGGCTTAAAAACATTGCATGATTTTTTATTGGATGAAGATCACATATGTGATTTAAATTAATTAATAAAAAAAAGGGACCAAAATCAAAATTCATTGAAGTTCATTGATAATAATAATGTTCTTCAACTTCCTTTTATAGTTGGGTGCATAACCACTGGTTTTGTAAAATGTTCCTGAGAATAAATTTTAGCCAAATTTTTTATTATGTAGAAATTATTTGTCTTGTATTTAATCTCATCAGGGAAATATCCTGTTGGAGAATGTACTGTAATTAGCTGGTGAAGCTCCAGATGAAAAAAATATGATGATGATGTTAATATTTATGAAACACAATACCAAAGATGAGTTTAAGATTTTTTAATGTGTATTAATATTATTAATTTAATTGTAAATTAAATTTGATTAGTTTTAAATAAAAATAATTACTTATATGTATATATTACATGTTTATGATAAACAGTTTTTAAAAGCATAAAAATATTGTTTTTACCTAATAATATACTAAAAAGTATCTAATTGCTTAATTAAAGATAGTTATTAAATTTTAGTAATCATAGTAATTACATATAAGTTAATACTTCCAGCAACTAGAAATTTTCATTGGTCTATGAAATGTTTCTCTAGTCATCTTCAGTTTAAGAGATTCTATCTGAGCATTTTTCCTGACAACTGATTGATATGATGCTGCTGATTTTTCAACAATCTCCTAAAAATGATATATATTATCATATGTATATTATATTTATATATACAATATTGTCACATGCTTACTTGTACAGTTGCTAACACTTGGAAACAATTCATCAAGTTTCCCCAAGTTGCTGCTCTATCAGATAGACCAAACTCCCCAAGCAAAAACATACAATATATACCATCAATATATACCATCATAACATAAATCAAGTACATAAGCTCTTGCCACAAAGCCTTTGTTAATAAAATTTAATATAAGTCAGGCAAATTTTTATTAATAAGAACAAGATTTTCCATATAAAATTTGCTAACCAACGAATTGTAGCACACATATGACAATATCATCTGTTCCATCTTTAATAGATTGATCCAAAGCAGCTTTCATGGTTTTTCCAAGTATTACCAGATCTTCGCTTATTAAATACTTTTTGGATTTTGTGGTTTAATTTCTCCTAAAAGCAATTCAATGTACTTTCCTGGTTTAGTTGTCATTACTGTGAAGTCTGGTTTAGATCTTAACAAACATGGATCAAATTTTCTATTGGTAGCAGTTGAAGATTTTGACATAAGGTTGGCCCTGCAATAAATAATCCAAAATTAAAATATTTATAGATATTATTATAATTGTACAAATCATAAAATATATACCATTCTATTTTAGTTTTCCCATTTCCATGAAAAAATGGATCAATTATTGTAGAAATACACCTATGAACATGCGTATCTTCTATTTTATCACTTCTTGAAAAAGTTGACTGTTGGTTGTTAATTCTATAAAGTGTAGAATTTGTGTTAGAGGATGCTTATTGTAAAAATTCATATTTATATAAATATTTTTGAAACTTACAAGTTATTACAAATTTCAACCATTGTTTTTCCATGTTTTTTGGATTTAAGCCATTAAAAAAATTTTTTAATTGCATTTCACGTTTGGATTTTGTTGATTGTACAGTAGTAATCTGTAAAAAAAATGTTAAATAAATCAACAAGCAAGTAGGATTCAATTTGAGGTATTTATCATTACCTTTGTAAAATTATACCAGATTTTGTAAACTCTTTCATTGATTTTTTGGTTTGGGTATTTAGAGTGAAGTTCATTTAAAACATCATTCCATAATTGATAATCACAATACTCATACAATCCTTCAGGATTTTCTTCTTCTATGACAAATATATAGCTGAGTGATCTGCAAAATAATTAGTATGAAATGTATTCTAGACTATGCTGATCATACAATCAAAGAAATAAACATACAACTCTTCATTTGCCATCAATCTCACTGTGTCAGTTTTGTTAATGTCTGATTTATTAATTACATCTTTCCTGAATTCTACACATAACTCTGTTAAGTTTTTACCAGATACAAACCACTGTTTTTATGAAAGAAGATTAATTAAAAAAAAAATATAGAAAGATTTAAAAAAACAATTGTATATTTTATATTAAAATCATTCATGTATACTAGATTTGATTCTTCCAATAAGCCAAAATCTAACTTCCCAGGACCTATAAAATAATCAAGTTTATTTTTGTATTTACATTTTACTGTTTTTAAATCATCTTCATTTTCATCAGATGATACATCAGGAGAGCTTGAGATATATGAGGAACAAGATGATTCTGATGAAAATATCTATTAGATGCATAAAAGAAAAATATTAATATAATTAATTTTGATTATGTAGATTAAAGTTTTTTAATATCCTTCTACCTCTTCAAGAATGCTTTTGTTTTCCTTGTTGTTGTCAAACAACTCAATTAAAACATTCTGCTTTTGATTTGTATTCAATCTTTTTTTATTCAATGATTATCAAGTTAATATTTAGTGTATATATATAACTATATATAATGAATATTGAAATCCTTACACTCATGGTTTCTTAACTCTAAGAAATAAAATAAACATAAAAAGTCAACTTTAAACCCTAAACTAGAATGACAGCAAGTGGCGATAACCACCATTCTTTTAATAAATGATACTCATTTCTCGTTTTTGTTCTTTCATTTTTTGTTTTCTTTTCAATTGTTTTTTTGGCATCTTGTTAAAAACTAGAAAGAAAGTTTTGTTGATTGATCGACAAACACGTCTAATTATTTATGTATGATTGTTTAGTGTAGGGTAAAGTGTGATAATCATTTATGTATTGTAAGTAACATAGCGGGCTTTCCCTGTGATTGGCTTATTTCATTTTGTGTAAAATGACGATCATTACCAAAATAAAATTTTTTTTTAAATTTTATTTTACTGTTAACAATACTTTAAAAAAGATGAATAATAAATAAAATTAACTTATATATAATAAAATACAAATAAAAAAATGACATTCATTATTTAGCTTCTAAAATTTTAAATGATAATAAATGATTATTTAGAATTGAATCTATATTAGAGTTTAAAGAAATATTTTCATCACCACTTGTTTCAATTATGTTATCTTCTCCTTCATCATTTTTTTCTAAGTCCAAATCATCAAAAGAATTAACACTATTTTGAAAAATATTACTATTATCAATAATCCCTTTTGTTAGTAAATCATTGCAGTAATGACATTGACTTGAAAGATTTAATAAAAAACATTCATAATGATATGAATGTCCACATGCTAAAATACAACCATAATCATGAGATAGTTCACATCCATCCAAATCACAATATTTGTTAGCTTTTGGAGGGAAAGAACTACTCCAAGCTAATGGAAGCATTTTAACATCAACAACAGTATCCAATGTTGGAGGCTTATATGGAATTTTATACTTGGGTTTTTATACTTACCTGATGTATCAATAACTGTTTTTCCAATATTATTATATACATCTGTGCAAAGTTCCAACAGATATATTGCTGCCCTTTTTTTCATAAAATCTAATTCTATTTCACTATATGTAATGTTATGGGAATCTGAAAAATTTTCCTTAAATATGTTAGAACCATGTGATTGATCAATAATTTTGGCTTGTCGTATAATTTGTTCAGCTGAGTTTGATGCATTTGTTTGAAGACGTATTGAAGAATGGAAATTCTCAACATAATAGTCATTAAACAAGTGAATATTTTGTTCAATGGTATGTGCCATTGGATGATGTGTAGTAAACCAATAGAATACATCACTAAAAAATGCTAATGGCACTTTATTATAATTTTTACGGCCATACCTGTAAAAGAGTACCCAAGCACGAAACATTGCTTCTTTGTACACAGGCCAATTTCCACTTTGAAATATAACTGGATAGAAATCTAGAACTAATAGTATAATATTATCTAAAAGGTCTAATAAATACCTTACCTCAGGATCCTTGCAATTACAAAATTTAATTAATACTTCTTTTCTTATTAGGTTCCATCCAGAAGCAGCCAGTTCAAGTAATACATTTATTTTGTATGGCTTTGGTTTTTTTGCAAGTGGTCTCTTCTTTAAATAGAGAAAACAATTTAATTTGTTGAAAAAAGAATAGTTCAACATTACAACTGTTTCACGACTATTCAATGAAACATGTAAAGGTCCAATCATTGGGACAATATGTTGCAGGAGAGGTGAGAGTTGGTGGGTATTTGTTGAATTAAAAGAAGCTGAAACAGCACGTCGCACATGAATCTGTCCAGGATAATCCATTGGTGCTACAAGTATAAACTTTTCAAGATAAGCTTTCAACTCTGGAACATTAAATATATTTTTTAAAGCTTTTATATAATCCCCTGTAGAGTGTAAGCTTCCTTCAACCAAGTTGACAAGCTTGGTGTTATCCATACTTCTGTCTTCTTTTCGTTGTTGTATCCTATTATCATAACTATGCACCAACAACATCTCAATACGTTCTTCATGGTTTCTTGCCTCAGGTAATTCTTTAGCAAAAACAACCTTACGTTCATTATATGTTAACCAAAGATGAGGAAAAAACAATACCTGAACATTTTCCACAATAAGCTCCGCATCAATTCCTTTTGGATTGTGGACATTTTTACCAACATGTAAATTATCAAATGGAACTGCTGGTAATTCTGGAACTGCTTTTAGTAGGATAGTTTGAAAGTGATGAACATCTGAGGATGTTGTTGTATCACCACGTCGTATAGTATGGATGTTATGATAATCATCAAAATTTGCCACCATAAAATCATCCATCTACATCAAATTCATTAAATTAAATTAATGTTTGCAATATAATTACAACTAAATTAAAATTCATAAGCATTATCCTTACATGTTCTAATACAAAGGAGCTAACAGTATCATTGTGAGTATTTTCTTGTTTTTTTTTATGCCTCATTACTGTCTCACGCCTAATGCTTATACCTGCTCCTGCAAATGTTTCAATAGCTGAGGATGATGTACCTGCACCATCTAACATATATCCAATTTCAGCTTTAATTCCATTGATGAATTTATTATTCAGACCTGCCAGAAAATAACAAAATAAAACTAATCTTTTTTTATTTTTTTCATTAGTCATGTTATTTTTATCTTTTGGATTTGTTCCAGCATAAAGTTGATTAAAAAAACCTTTTAATGCTGGTTCAGCTTCTTCTAACATTTTATTAAATTCATCAGGTTCTAAAATGGGTTTTTCGTTATTCACCCTCTGCCTCATATACAATATACCTGCCATTAGTTTAATTTTTTTATTAAGAGGTGTCATTTCTAAAATAAAATAAGTAAGCTAGTTAAATATAATTATTGACAATAAAAGTAATTCATCATTTTATTTAAAAAAAATTTTTTTTAAGATATATATTTTCATTTTGTTCAATAATAATAAACAATATTATTATTTTTAATATATTGGTGTGTAAAGATTAGAAGGATAATTAGTTACTTACCTAGTTTGGCTTTGTCAAGTTCTGCACACACTTCATGATATGCAGATTCTATCTCAGAATATAAAATATCATCACGTAAAGCGTATGTTCTATTTTGAAATTTCCTAATATTTTCACTTGATGTTTTTTGAACTGGTAATTGGTAATCAGGTGAATCCAAATATTCTGGATCATTATCAGATTTATATAAGCAATAGTGACACATTACTGCTGTCTCTGATAATTTAAAATAATTAGATAATCGTCGAGGTGTCTTCTTGAATGCATTTCCTTTTTCTTTTCGTGCTGTAGAAAGATAAATATCATGCTTGGGATGTGAACAAGTGTTAGTTATTTTGATTTTTTTAGCATTAACAATTAATTTATTATAATGCCTTCTACATAACATAGCGGGCTTTTTCTATGATTGGCTGGCATACAAAGAAATTGATTGGATAATTTTATTATTATGACGATCATTACTAATAAATTTTATATAATATATTAATATACCAGATACGTCGTTATCAAGAACATAAAATTATCATTTTTAAAATAACAAAATGTACATATGAATTTATTGGTAGTGTTTCTACACATCTGGTTCATCAAAACGCTAGTTAAAAACCTTCTGCTATTATTATAATGACAAAAAGGTATATAGGTAATAAAATACATCTATAATTTGAAGCAATACAAATAAATACCTCTATATCTAAATGACAAACTTGAGAAAAAAAGTGTATCCCGCGTTGAATTAAATATTTCTTATTCGTAAATAATATATTTATATGATGCTGAAAGCTTAAGCTTACATTGAATTTTGCGCTTCAGAATTACCCGATGTACCATATAATTACAATAATAATTACCTAGATTATTTACATACACTATTGATCCTTATTGCCTAATGAAAGAGTTTTAAATATTGCATGTTAATAAGGTACTTGTTCATCCAACACTTGCTATTACAGCATACCGCTATATTCATTCATACCTTCTTTTTGGTCTAGTAGATCTAAGCCTACCATAAGTATTCCTTTACATTGTAAAAGTCGTAAACCGTAAAACTGTATTGCCATAGAACTACAAAATATTTTTAAAGTATAAAAGCTATATTAATATTTACAAACATACCTTTCAACATGTTGATTCGCTGATTTGTTTTTTTATGGCAGAGCTTCTATATAACAAAAAAAAAAGTTTAATAATGAATAAATAAAAATATATAGACTTTTTTTCTTTTTTTTTAATGTTTGGAAACACTTCTCATCTAACTTCTGAATTACCTCGCCATTTTTCAAATTACTTTGGTGGTATATAGAATAGGATGTAGGAAATCAGAATAAATTATTTATATTGTCAGCGAATTGATTTTCGTGGCAGCAAATTCATTTGAAGTCAGATGATAGGTCATATTGTATATGTTTATTATGTTGTGAAACTAATGTCGATCATTCGTAAAATCGAATACCCGCTATGTTGATTCAAATCAGGGCTTTGTGCAGGCCAAGGAATAAATGATATTAGATTATCTTCCTTCCATTGAATTGTTTCTGTTGCTCTGTGAGACAGTGCATTATCATCTTGAAAGCAATATGTTGACTTATCCTCCAATTCATTTAAAAATAGTAGAAGATTATTATGAAGTACTTCTCTATACTTCTGCCCATTGATTTTGCCATTTACTTCAACTAACGGACCAAGTCTATTGTGAATGAAGCACCCCCACATCATAACTCCTTCTCTACCTGATTTAACT